GGTATAAATAAGGCATTCTCTTATTCTGCAGAATGATTTACTGAGGGTAAACAGACATTTCTCCTCGTGGCAGTAATAAAAATAAGCCAACAGAAAGGACATACAACGTTTTCCCCTACTGGTAAGCTAGATTTTATTCTGGCTTTTCTTTTGTTGGCAGAATTGTTGCATATGTTCTACCAAATATTTGCTTTGGTACACTAGGAAAAATCTTTCTTGAAATCTGGACACGTAACTATTATCTGAGTAAGGGAAAATGCCTGTATTCCTGTTTTCTTACACAAAGAGAGCATGTTGTTAGAGGTGAGTGACGTTCCTGCTGCTAGCTTGTGCATGTAGAACTCTCACAGAACACACTGCTCAGCAGCAATTACAGCCCCACAGAAACTCTCATGGACATGCTTTTCCTCAGGAAATGAGCAGAGCCACAGTAGCATCCAAACATATGCAGTTTTACTTTTAAGTATCCAACATGCTATTAATTAGATAATTTCTTGCACCACACTTGATTCTGAAACTGCAGCTTTCTCTGTGCCATGCAACATCTACAGCCTGCATCCAAACCCAAGGAATGTCCTGGTCCAGGGGCACCTCAGCTGCACGCACAACTGACAGTCGGGATAACTGAGACAGGCAAAGGGCAAAAGGGGAAAAGGCAGATGAGTATCTTGTCCAAGGCTGCAGAGCTGGCCACTCACTTGGCTGCAATTAAAGGGGAGGCCCCTGCTCCTGCTGCTGGACTCAGCAGGAAACACGGCCATACCCTTGCTCCAGCCCCTCCAGCTGTGTTGGTGTCACAGCACAGAAATGATGAGTCTTTATTGATAGCAGCAGGTTTTCATAGAGTCATAGAATAGTTAAGGTTGGAAAAGACAATTAAAATAATCTAGTCCAAATATGAACCTATTCCCACTGTGCCCACTAACCACATCCCTCAGTGTTACAAGTTTCTCGAACACCTCCAGGGATGGTGGAACACCTCCCTGGGCAGTCTGTGCCAATGCAACACCACTCCTTCCAAGACAAAATTCTTCCTAATATCCAACCTGAACCTCCCATGGCACAACTTGAGGCCATTACCTCTTGTCCTATCATTATTAAGCTCATCCTATCACTGAATTACAGGCAGGAGCTCAAGGATGCATTCATAACCATTTTGAAATTTGGTTTTAAGAAATAAAGATGCATACTCAAAAATAGCTGCTCTGAAAAGACCTATTTTAGCCCACTGCCTGAGAAAGTTAATTACTTAATTTGATTATTGTCTGAAATTATTTTAAATCATTACCATTGTATAAATAAGCAAACAAAAACCAAGTAGAATACGATAAAAGCATAATTTAATAATTCTGTAATACGGGCAGACAATTGTTTTAATGAATGTTCAACTGCTTTTTGAGCCTGAAGCTAAGAATGAAAAGATAGCAATTTGCACATCAGATATTTCTGGAAAAAAAAAAAAAAAAAAAAAGCTGTAAAGTGTTTAACAAAACATTCTATTTGTGTGTTGTTCTACATGGTTACAATAGTTATGACATGTATTTGCCCTTCAACACAATTTACTCTACTGCTGTCAGGTAACTGTGGAGAGTTATTGCCTCAGAAATAACTTCAAAAGCTCCTTAATAAAATAATGCAGTAATAGAGATTTCTTTCCTTGGGAGACTACAAAAACGCTGATGCAGCTTGGAATGCTCTCATGCCTGTGTTGCTGCTGATGGTGGTAAATAACCTCAGCTTCCTCAAAAAGTCTGCACCACATGCAGGCTGTGCACCAAGGCACTTCACTCCAGATTAATGTGCTGAAGGAGAGGTTGGGTGGGGCGATGGGCATCTGATCTACATGGTGGAGTTTGGTGGAGTTTAAGGTCCATTCCAACCTAAGCCATTCTGTGAGTATGAGATTCTATAAAATGACATGGTCGTTGCCAGCTATTTGAGTTTTAACAAAGAAAATTGGTGACTGTTGGATACATAGATTGTCACTTTGTGTAGACATAGCTCCAACACCAAACGGGAATAAGCCCACCTTGTGAACCAATTCATTTTCATGCAGTTCCCAGCACAGTTTCTCAGTTTTAACTTCAAGGACTTAAAACTATATCCTGCTGTTCTACAATAAGCTTGTTGTAGAACAGCTACGTACCATGCTTTACCCAAATGGTTCTTTGCATTTTAAGAAGATGAAAGTGATTCCCAGGCTTGAAACCCAGATTATATTGGAGATGATAATGTGGTAAGGAAATAGAGGATGAATAAGAGATTTGGGTGAGGAGGAGAAGGCAGGAGGAGCTGCCAATGAGTCTCAGTGTGAAATTGGATTCAGCAAGATCAAGCACAGAAACCCAGTAACGAGCCTTCCACAAAGCTTTAGGCTACACGCAGAGCTCTGTGGTATTTTTAGGAAGAGAAATGTGATAAGAAAGATATTAAAACTCAGTGCTGCAGATGGAGGGCCAGGAAGCAAGCAATGTCACTGGCTTAGAAGAAGGATTTCGGAGACGTATGTAGAATACGTCATTCCAAAATAAGAGCAGGGTAAAGGAGGATGGACAGAGGTTGTAGGTGCCCAGTAAAAGATGACCTGAGTCTCTGACAGAGGTCTCTCTGGAAAGAACTATCAGTTTCAGAAAAGTATCCCACTTCTTTAGCCCTGATGACCACAGACAGCAAGTATGAGGTAAGCAGAGATGAAGTCCAAAAGGTTTTATTTGTTTAGGCAGAGCTTCCTTTGCTTGAAGCTTCAACATATCAGTACTTTTGTCTTATCATTTTGGTGATGTGTCAATGGCTATATTCTCCTACTATGGGTACCAAATGAATGCATATTCCGAAAGGTATTTGTTGGAATTCCTGGATAAACTTTTGAGACACAGTGATATTTTGGAAGTTGTTTCCATAGTGCTAGACAAAAATAATAGTGCAGGCTCTTTTCAAACTACATTCTGCAACAATTAAACGAGGCACAGTCATTCTTCCTGATTTAATTAGGATGTTCCTAAGAAATTACTCTAAAGCAGGGCTTTTTCTATCCTATACCTTCTGTAGAACATCCATGACTCTTTTACCTCAGAAGATGAACTGAAACCCAAGGAGATAACTCTGTATTTTCCTTCTGGTTGAGGAAACTGATCTCGTAAGGACTAAAGACAAAAACTGTCAGGGATACTTTCTTTCAAATACTGTAACTCAGGCACGAGGAGGACTTTTTGAGATGAGCTATGCAGCTGTCATCTTCATCACCAGATAAGTTCATAGAATCATTAAGGTTGGAAAAGACCACTACAGTCATATAGTCCAAACATAAACCCATCTCCACCATGCCCACTAAGCCACATCACTCAGTGCCACATCCACAGTTCTTGAACACCTCCAGGGACAGTGACTCCACCACCTCCCTGTGGGCAGCCTTGTGCCAGTGCCTCACTACTCTTTCTGAGAAGCACTTCTTCCTAATATCCAATTTGAACCTTCCACAGCACAACCTAAGACCATTATCTCTCATCCTATTGCTTGTAATTTGCTGGAATTCCTGGCCCTATTGTAACCCGTCCATGCTCAGAGCTGCAGGGGGAAGGCAAACTTAAGGTGTTCTCCACTCACAGGGAGGGCTCATCAAAGTTTTGCCATTACAGCTGTGCTGTTGTCACAAGCTTTTGTCTCAGATGGTTACTGATACTTTTTTGGTTAAAAAAAAAGGTGAAACCAGAAAGCCACTTCACAACTTCTGGAAACAGGACCATGTTCACAGTGGAAATGGTACTGGCTGAATGCATTTTGGAGTATGTAAGGTGATTTATTGTATGGGAGGTATGCGTATACAATAGTGAAAACTACAAATACCGGGAGGCAAGTAGTAAGAACCCAAATCGTTATTTATTTTTTCAAAATAAATACAAGCGTTCAGTTGAAGATAATTTCCATAGTATTCAGAATACTTTTGCCATTGTAGGTAACATGTGAAATAATTAAAAAAAAAAAAAAAAAAGTATGATAAAAGAGAATGTTACAAAAACAACAACAACAACAACAACAAAAACCCAACAAAGTTCCTACATCCAACAACCCAAGACTTTGCTGCCAGTTACTTACAGCTATACATGGGAACAAATATTCAGATTTCCTCACAGCTTTCAAGCACAATCCAGAGGAATGAGTGTTAATTACTCATCCTAAAAAAAAATAATAATAATTGTCTTTAGTAGAAGTAATTTTCATGAAGACTCTAGAATTGCAGTCCTGGGAAATTGAGTCCTGCTTTAGTTTGCTCAGAAAGTAATGCCTCCTAATGGTTTCCATGGAAACTATAACACAGCTACAAAGAGCACAGCAATACTATTTGATAGAGCAAACTCTCAGCTACGAAGTACAGTTCTGCAATACAGCCACCAGCATTAGTTCTGCATTTTTGTCACTGATGAGCAGGAGTCTGCATACTGCGCTCATAAAGAAGTGCACCAGTGGAGGTGACCCACTGTCACTACTAAAATGCACCACCACTCTGCGCTCACTGTTTGGCCTCCATCAATGTTCAGCAAGCATCAACAAATGTCAGTGGTACCACTGTTCCGCTATGAAGGAGTTCAATAACGTGCTTTTGCTTCATGTATACCTCTGTGTCAAACATGACAAAGCTCTTGCAACTCAACAGCATGGTGAGGAAAAGCCGCCTCTCCTCGGGCTGACTGTCTTGGATCTGTTCTGTCTGCGCCGTTCTCTCTCACACCTCCCACACGACTTCAGCTGGGATCGGTACCGCACTCACTGCCGCGCCCGATCACCGCACGCACAGTGTTTACGCCTCAACCAGGGGCGGGACAGGGCGGCGCGTCACAGGGGACGGTGGGGCGGGGCGGGAGGCGCGGCCGGGCGCTGCCCCGCGGCTCAGGGGCGGCTGCCCGCGGCATGGGTCTTGCGCTCCGGCCGAGAGCCCGCGGGTGGCGGTGAACGGAGCGGCCCCGCCGTGTCCGCGGCCCCGGAGAGAAGAGGCCGGGCGCCCGCGGGCGGGTTGTCGCCGGGGCTGCGAGCGGCGGGGCTCGGGACCCGGAAGCAGAAGCGGGACCGGGAGGCGGCTGGATGGGAAGAAGCGGCGACGGCGGCGGGAGGCGATGGGGGAGCAGCAGAGCTCGCTGAGCGCCTCGCGGGCTGCCGCCGCCGCTCCGCCCAGCCCGGCCGGGGGCTCACGGGAGGACGGTCCGGAGGAGAGGCCGCCGCCACGGGAGGCGGCCGAGCCGGGAGAAGGTGGGGAGCCTCCGCCCTCCATCGGCTCCGAGAGACGAGGGGGCGGCGGGGACGCAGCGGGGGAGGACGAAGAGGAGGCGGCCGGGCCGGAGCCGCCGGGCGCGGGGGAATCGGCGGAGGAGGGGCTGGAGGGGGGCAGCGGTCGGCGCCGCCCGGCCCGACGGCACGTGTATTGCACCGTGTACTGCGTGGAGAACGACCGGCCGGGCCCCGGCTCCCCGCCCAGCTCCGGCAGCGCGCAGCCCCCGGCCCGGCGCGGAGTGGCGGCGGGCGGCGACCCGCTGTCAGCGGGCGGCAGCATCGAGGTGGTGGACTTGTACCTGCTGCCCGAACCCTTCTCCGGGCTGATCGGCGGCGACTTCGGGCCGCTGCTGGTGCTGAGCTGCCGAGTGTGCCTGGAAGAGAAACCCGTCAAGCCCCTGTCCTGCTGCAAGAAGGCGGTGTGCGAGGAGTGCCTCAAGCGGTACCTCAGCTCCCAGGTACGACCGGGCCCCGCGCCGCTCCCCGAAGGGATCGCTGATGCCGCGGTACCCCTGAGCCCCTCGGGGAGCTGCTGGTTCCGGGTCGGGGATTAGGCGGTCGTTCCCCAGCCCCTCTCCGCGGGCTGATGGCGGCCCTGCTGCTCGCCCGGTGACGTGCTGCCTGTGGTGTTTGCACTGTGCGGGGCTGCGGGGCTGCTGTGCAGAGGGCTCTGTGATTAGCCTTGAGGAATCACAGTTGCTGCAGCAGCAACTCTGGGGAGAAAAGAGAACAGCTTTTGCGAACTTAGAGTGACCAACTTACAGCCTGCTGCTTCATCACTGCTTTGTCAGTCAGGCTGCAGTTTCGAAGGGAAATCGGGAGCCTGAAAGCTAATCAGCCTTGCTTAGTGATGCTGGTAGCCGATTTAGCATCACAAACCACTTCTGTATGGCTCCTACCAGTGATGTAGGTGTGTCCTAAGCCCAAAGAGTCAGGCAGATGCCGGGTATGTGAGAATATCAAAACCAAGCAAAACTCTTTGCTGACCACCCTTACATATGCATTCAGCAGAGGCGTGGGAGACGTACTCGGCAGAGAAGTGCTGGTGGGATGTATTTTTGCACCTGCTGGCCCTAGAAGCTGTGTTACAGTGGTCTGTGCTCCACTGGGCTGTGTGCCTGGGAATGGCTTCGCAGCTCCCGCAAGTGCTATAAATAGGTGTGGGGCTCCTCCAACCAGGCCATTTCACGGCTTGGGACTGGCACGTGCTCCTATCTGGGCACTTGCAAGTCCATGCAGCAGTTACTCGTGCTAGTAGTATTTGTTCTGGCTAATGGTACACTCACTGAGGTTTTTACAGAGCACTTTTTTTGTGTTTAGATAACAGGGAAGGGCTTAATGTGGGAACTGATGGGATGAGTGGAATAGGGCTATGTTTTTATATGTTCCCCAATACTGAAATTTGGGGACACCTTATAAGATTTCTTGCACAGAACCCAGAATGTTTTGGTTTGGTATGTAACTAACTGATGAACTCAAAGTCTAGAAAGTTTTCAGAATTCATTGCTAGTATGTGTTTGAGCCATCTTCATGTTTGCCACCAAGGCCACATGGGTCAGGATATTGTCTTACCTTGGAGATCACAAAGCAGTGTGATAGACATCAGGTGTTCTTCCTTAGCGTCTGTAACCTGTGCTTCAAGACAATGGTTTGTGGTAGCTTTTCATTATTAAAATAGGTAGTAAAATGCATTGGGGAATGACCAAGTAGGGAGCTCAGTCATCATCCTAAGAATGCTCTCTGATCATTGGAGGTATTCAAAGTTGGGTTGTGTGGGTGGGGCTTTGTGCAACCTGATCTAGCGAAAGATGTCCCTGCCACTGGCAGGGGTGCATTCAAATACTGAATTCAATTGGCTAATCCTCTTCTTCAGTGAATAGAAAGGTGTTTTTGTGGCATAATTTGTCTAAAATAGTTGAAATGGCCATAGATATTTTCTCCTATTTGTTTCCTTTGAGTAAGAAGGGATGTAGGATCCCACAGTAAAATATATCAGAGTGAGATTCTGCCCCAGACACTTAATAGTACTAGTTAGTTGTGAGCTAAGGCAATAGAGAATCTCTTGCAGCAACTAGTAGTTGCTAGATTTGCATGATCTGTCAGCTAAAGCTATACCTAAGAACAGTTCTGCCTGATTTCAGCTCAGCAATTCAAGGATGATTGCATGGTTTGGTGTCTGCAAGAGCTACCTGGCTTGGGAGCTGGGTGAAAACCCCATAAAGCAAGTTTAGAATCATAGAATCACAAGGTTGGAAACAACCTGCAAGATCATCTAGTCCAACTGTCCTCCCATTACCATTGCTACCACAAGCTTCTAACCCATATCTCGTAGCACCTCATCCAGCTGCCTCTTGAACACTGCTGGGGAGAGCAACTCCACTACCTCCCTGAGCAGGCCATACCAGTGCCTGGAATGTGAGGATGTTCTTTGCGATGAAGCCACTGGTATTGCTGAGCACTCTATAAAGCTTAGTCCAGAAGCTATTAAAAGATCTACGTGGCAGATAGCCATATTGATGCTCGTATACATAAAAGATGAAACAGGGATACAGATGCAGATAAAGGAATATTTGCAATACTGCTACTGATATTGAGAACAGAGATTCACAAAGCACTTCTGCAGACACAGGGACTCTTACCCATCCTGTTATGACCCAGCAGGATTTTAGTTGAGTGATGTATTTGTTCAGGAGAAAAAGGCAACAAAACATCCTCTAAAGCAGTCCAGTGTGTTCTTAGCATATCTGTCTTTTTGGGAAAAACAAGTGATGTTTCTTTGGGAAGAACAAGAAGTAACGTTTTTCTCCTTTGTGCTGTAGAAGGCTCATGTGACTCATCCTCAGTGGAGAGGAAAAGCCTTCTCCTTGTCTGCTCTGTCAGAGGAATCTGGGGAAAGATGAGTGGAAGGACAGTATAGGATAAAGTCACCTTTTAGTCTTCTGAGTTTTAGCACTTCATGTAGTGATTTCCTTCATAAAAAGAAAACCTACCAAAAAGTTTGAAAGGAGTAAATGTTGGAAAGCTGACTCTTTTTGCAAAATTGTAACAGATTTTTGGTTTGAATACAGTCAGCTTTATGTAGGAATGCACCTGAAATTGGGAGGGGGAGCAGAGGGAGAAGGAAAAAAATGGATGTGCATTTAGATCTTGTTTCTGTGTCAGAGAAATAGCAAGCTGTACCCTGTGTTTGAGTGGAGACTGACCTCAGGTTTCTGGAGAGGGAGTGATTTTTATACGTTGAATATGTGGAACATATTGTCAGAAACATAACACGTGGAAGAAGATCTTTAACATAAGTATTTGTTTTCCCCCTGAAGAAAACTGGAATCTGTATAATGATTTCATCATGATTTCTGAAATGGTGTCTAATGGAATAGCAAAAACCCTGCTAATGATCTCTGCTGTATATAACTACATTAAAACTTCCGCCCTAGAGCACTATAGATTTTAAAAAAAAGTCAAGCGAAGTGTTGGGTGCTGTTGAGATGAGTATCCATATGAAAATGTGGAATTGTTTTACTGGTGGGGGGAAATGGGAGCAATGTGCTTCAGAAGGTCCTTAGAGGTCAAATCCAGTCTCTTATCACTGGCACCTGGCTGCATAATCCCTATCAAAGATTTAACACCTGGTATAGAAGCTTAGAAGGTGAGTCTGGAGCTCCAGATCTGAAACCTGACTGTACTACAGTAAAAGACATTATTTTACCTCTGCCTCAATTCAGATGTTCTTTTTATGGGCCTTACACTCTTGGCTTTTAAAGGTCTAAGACCTATTTATCATTCACAAAAAGGAAAGGGAAAAAAAGACTATTCTCTTGGACTCAGAGAAATTGAGGAAGGAGTAGGTACGTGCATTGAGCTGTTACGAAGAGGATCATAGCTGTTGTACCTTAGGACATGGAGTATGGGAAGTATGGGAAGCACTGGATCCCACAAGTGTAATATTGCATTCACATTTTCTTCACTTTGCCCCTTCCTCTCCATTTAGCCTCATAACAGACTTGGTTTATTCCAGAAGCTGCATCCACACAGGTTTGCTGTAGATGAGTGATTCACTTCCTCATCTCTCTTTATTGCTTGTAAATCTGAGTCAGAGGGAATACTTGTGCCTGGTTTTGCTTTTTGTGTGTGTGTCTGGGTGGGAGGTGGTTCAGAAGTACCCTGTACAAATGAACAAACAGCCATGGGAAGAAATTTTGCTGCAGAGGGAGAAACTTATAGTTTAACTGGGGATTTATATTTAACTTATCCTCTCTACCAGGCCAGGGTAAGGTTTATGTGTTTTTCTCATCTCTCTAATTTGTAAACCTGTAAGTACTGTTCGGAATAACAATCTCACTCCTCACTTTTCAGTAAGTGAAGAGTATAAAAAATAACACTTCTTCTTTCCTAATATCTAAAAAGATATATATTGCTTAAAGTATTTATTAGGGAACATACAATTGTATCCTTTCTTGTAAAGTAGCTGTACATGTTTCATAGAAACCTTTGTGATTTGGCTGCCTGCTTTTCTACCTCTGAACTGGAGAACTAGATAATCCAGTTTTGATGCTATGCTCATTAGTGATGCTTTATTTTGTAAATCTTGTAATTGTCTTGCAGTGGTAATTTCTTACATTAAAGGACTTTGAATTAATTTAAACAACCTACTGTATTCTCAGTCAGATATTGTGGTGCTTTAATTACAGGAATGCTAATCAGATTAGTGGATGTGGATAATCAGAAGGGGTTGTTGGGGCGGGGAGGAGTTGCAGCTGGCAATGCTTGGTGTCTGACTGGCTTTGGTGGGACAAGAGTCCTACTTAGCTATTCTGAGCCTGAAATGAGGAGATTATTGTCCCTCTATCTGGGATCTGTTAACAGTTTTCCTTTGTGACTTGAGACCTTGTGTTCAACCCTTTTCTTTTTTAGTGTGTGATCTTTTTGAAAGATGCAAGGGGAGAAGAAAGCAGCAGAATGTTACAATCAGGATTTTTGTGGAAAGAGTAAGATTATGAAGTCATGCCAGCAGTAAGGAAAAGTCATGAGCAGGCTGTGTTGTCCAGAACTAGTAGTGGTTTGGAGAAAGAGGGACTTGATACCTGTGTACCTCTTCAGGTATCTGATTGTATCATGCAAATGATAGCCTTCAAAGCTGTAGTTTGGCTGCTGAAGGAAACCAGGCAGCAACATAGCCACCAGTTGCTGAATCATCTGGTTGTTAATGAGCTGCTTAGTGCCCTGATGCAAGACGGAGTTCAAAAGGGTCATCTAGTGAAGGAGATCTGTGCTCATGAGGGATATGAATCCCCCAAAATACTATAATGCTGGTTTTGAGTTACTGAGGTGGCTACACACTGGCTACTGAAAAGAGAGGTAGGCTGAGAAATCACCTTCCAGCTGAAGTTACAATAGCAGGGAACTTCGCAAAGGAGGAAGAGAGGTGAAATAGAAAAATAATATATACTATATGCTAGAT